GTCAGATGTGTTAGCTAAGCAAGGGGTAAATAGGGAAGAATTGTTTTGGGCTCAGTTGTGATTCTTGCTTTTCTTTCCTAGTTTACTTGTAAGATTCAAGGAVGGGYTGCAGCTCGCGCCTCTCCTTGGGATGTTGTATGAACTCACTCTAAACTATTTGATAAAGAAAACAAGCTTGAACAAAGTCTGGGTTTCCCTATATAAGAATATAAACTATGTTTACTAAAACCCCTTAATTACATTCCTTAGAGGAAATACCCTTTGATTTTAATTTTATGAAAGAAATATTTTGCAAGGGTTAGACCCAATGACAAGTATAAGCAGGCCCATCAACTTGGGCTCTCAATGGGTTATACCAATGAGTGGGCCCCACAATCAATGGATATGTCATGGGACCCAACCACTATGGGGTTATATATTGGGTATTTATGTATTTTAAACTTGCCTATCTTAATAGTGAGTTCCAATCAATGGGACCCACTATGTTGATTTAATAGTGGCCTTGCTGATAAGTGGGACGCACTATACTAACTGGATAGTGCACATGGCCCAGGCCCACTTTGATATTTTAAACTTAATTATTTTAACAGTGGGCCCTACTAATAAATGGGACCCACTATGGGTATTTGATAGTGGCATGGCCCACTTTAATGTTTTAACCTTGAATAATTTAACAGCTATGTTATTTACATATTAGAATTTTGTAAAACAGCTATATGGTGGGATAATTATGGAGATTGCATGTCAAAGTTAAAGAAATTGGCAATCCATATTCTTAGTTTGACATGGAATTCTAGGGCTTGTGAACAGAATTGGACTACACTTAAGCAAGTAATGTGCCTATTCTTAATTTCTATTATTATTTAGTAGATTGGATTTTATGTTAGGGAGTAGATAAGAATTTATATAATTCTTGATTTTAAATGTTTTTAGATACATTCAAAAAGGAGAAATCATTTGGAAGAAAAGAGGCTGAGAGATTTAGTATTTGTTAAATACAATCACTAACTTCAAATCTGTCATGAGAGCTTGATCCAATTCGCCGATGAGACATGGAGTTAGATGATGATACTGAAAAGGAGGATCATTCCCTTTCTGTTGATTCCACATGGATGGACATGGGAGAGTGCTTTACTAAAGTTGAAGGAATTATAAATAAATGAAGCATGGTAGGTTTCATTTTATTACCTTCATAATTTATAACTTTATGTTTTATTTAAATAATTATAATTTATTTTACCTTTAGGTCCTAGGGATCTACACAAGAGGATAAGAAAAAGGGACAACCTAACTTCAAGATGAAGAAGAGGAAGAACATGTTTCTTCACCAGATGAAGAGCAAGAAGATGAAGACAACATTTAGCTTGATGATGATGATGATGACGATATATTTTGATAGATGATAGCTAAGTTTTTTTTTTTTCACTTTTTGATTACAAAGGAGATTTACTAGGGGCATATGATATATTTATACGGTGCTATTGGCTATCTTTTTGTATACTTTGTATAAGGGAACTAAATAGGATATTATGTTGCCCCAAAGTTGTCTTTTTTGTTGAGCCTTGAGGCCATGAAGATATGAACATAAAGCCATGTAGAGCCCATATTATATGATCATATCAAATAGCAATACAATGAAAGATCTGGTTTTTTTATTGCTCAAATTGAAGTTGAACTTGATCATACTATGGCATTTTTTTTATATTAATCACTACCTGACACCCCTTTACTCTTTTAAGTGAACAGTACAACATCAAATCAACAGCTCTTTTCTTTGATAATAGCGGGATTCGGAACCACACCACCACTGGGGCAATTCATCCAACGGACCAACATTAAATTATGAATTTCAATTATAGTATGAAAGCACTGTAATTTCTAGACTCACTATTACCACTACCTATTTATATTATGTCTATAGGCTGAAAATTAGTACAAAGTCATTTTTTCTATTTTTTGAGAGGTTTAGGTTTTTTTGACAATTTTTAGAAAAATGAGAAAAAAAATCTTAGGATTTACAATACGATTATGATTTTCAGAACATTCACTCTGTCCTTTTTGATGAATGATTGTACATAAAAGGATATTAGTAAGGTAGTATGAACTGGGGTGGTGCCATTTATCATTGTATAAAATCATATTATGTACTGCTTGTACATGACCTATGTAAATTCTGTTTTTAAGCAATAAAATTTCTGTTGCTGATTAAAAATAATAAAATAGACATTATTAAACTAAATTATTCATTTTGTGGATTTATATATGAAATAGTGGTTCAGACTTAAAAGAAGAGCTTGTAGGTTGTAGCATTAGGTTTAGGCAATGAGAAGAGAAGTAGAAGAAGAAGAGCAAGGAGAGAAGAAAAAGGATCCAAACAATCAGAGAAAATAAAATCCAACTTTAGCCCAGCCAACCCATATTTCTAGATTTACTAATGTTGGGTACAAATACTAAAGTGCCCCTAATTAAGTATGGAACACACAACTTAAAGATAAACAAAAAGGGCATTACACTTAATAATAAAAGAGAAAAAGATTATAAAGGGCCTATATAAGTAGGCTACTAACAAAAATTCCTTTGTATTATTATTTTGCAGTGTTTTAAAAGCACAAGGTGCAAAAAAAAACGCAAGGGTCAATTTGCGCCTGAGGCGCAAGCCTTTTTAAGTAAGGCACAAAATTACAAAAATAAAAAAAAAAAGTCAGAAATTTCAAAAAAATGCCAAAATTTAAAAAAAAAATGTAAAAAAAATCAAAAAGTATTAAACATAATGTTCATAAAAAATATAAACTTAAATTTTAAAATAAATGTTTTAAAAAACCTATTATCTAAAATTAAAATACATAAACATAACATGTAAAGCGTATTCAAATGAAAATTTAAAAATACAAACAAACATATAAAGCATTTTCAAGCATATAAAACCCACAATCTCTTTTTTTCTTAATTGCATTGCTTCAAGTAGCTAATGTGATGTAAAACATATTGCATTCTTGATTCTATGAGTCGCCTTTGTACCACACCCCTCGAGGCAAGCCCGAACAAGTCTATGTTAGGGTCCGAAATTCTTATTTCTCACATAAAAAATAATGATTTTATAACTTTCATTGCCTTTTAAGAAGATATTTTATTGCAATGAATGAATGAACAACATTAGCAAATAGGGGGTTCTACTCTGCTCCAGTTCACATACCCCAAAATGTGTCTCACCTATGTGCCTAGGCACGCCTTTTTAAACCACTGTTATTTTGGTATTGGTATTTGTTAGGACTCAATCAACAAAAATGTTAGTATATGCAGTCTGGAACCCTTGAAGGCTTCAAAACCTAACTGATAACCAAGGAAGAACTTAAAATTTTCTCCAATCAATACATATTCTTCTTTTTTTCTTTTGATAAATCACGTATTCTTCTTCTTCTTCCAACCCTTCTTTTCTTCTTTTCTTAGGATAAAAGGAGAAGCATGCTCCTATATTTTCTGATTTTTCTATTCTTTCTTCTTTTTATTCTCATGAATATGTTAGTTCTCTATGTTTTAATGTGAAGTTCATAATTTTTACGAAGACTACACATAATTACTAGTAAAACGTAGTTACTGGTTGTTATGGAACCTAGGGAATTACCCTAGGATTTATAATTTTTATTAAAAAAAAAAATCCATTGCCTAGGTGATGCTAGGCACTCCCTGTTGCCTAGTCTCGCCCTGGTGTCTTGAAAAATATGAACTTAAGTACTTAACTATACAATCAATTTACAGTATCCAAGAAGCTAAACAACTAACTTACACCCTTAATCCACTAATAGTCTAATAAACGTAACTTCACATTAACCCACTAATCCACTAACTACTAGGTAGGTAACGAAAGCAAACAAGAAAAAAGAGATGCAATGAAAACTTGGTTCTCATCTCTAATATGGTGAGTTTAAACTTTTATATAAACACAGACATACAATTTACAGATGAATAAGTCTCTGATAGATTCTCTATAGACTATTATTCTTTACACACCAATCAGAAAGCAAAAAGAGGTAAACAGTGCCTTCTATTGTGAAACACATTTCTTTCATTGAAGATAGAAAACACACCTGTTGAGCCCTAGTTCTGCCCTGCCTCTCGGCGGCACATTTCTCCAATGAAGCCTTCAGAGAAGCCTCAAGCTCTCTAATTCTGCGATTCAAATCTCTCGATTTCCTCCTGAAAAGCAAGACTTGCGATACCAGGAGACAATACAAGGTTTATGCATTATTACTGATGCATAAGGAGCTAATGATAAGACTGAGCTTAACAGACGAAGAAAAGCATTAACCCCAAAAAGGAAAGGGGGGTTACCAGAAATAGTTGCGGAAGCCGAAAACGCTGTAGCTACAATGGCGAATGCAACTCTTAACCATTTCGTATTTTCCGTGACCGCCATGACCGGGGACATCTCAAAACCCTAAGCACAGCTTCGCTCGCTTCTTCTTCAGTTCTTTGTTCGAGACCGCTGCAATTCGTGCAGAGGAAAAACATGGAACGACGGCATCATTGTTTAGAGTTCGATCTTCGTACTTCGAACAGGAGACATGTTTTGTACGCGCTGGAATTGGACCGAGATGTAGTTGGGCTAGGCCCAACTCGGCATATTTGATGCTTAGTCCAAAGGCCAAAGTCCAAACATAATATGGGCTTAATGACAACAATAAGCCGTGCCGAACTCGACACACTTGACGCTATTTTATTCAAATTCACTTTTCAGTCTAGTGGTTGGTCCAGTAAAGGACCGTTTGTAACGGACAAGTCGTTGAATTGAAAAGCTTGTTGCAGTAGGTTCCTTAGTCTCAGTTCGGAAGGAGTACAAATACAAATAGGTAGAGTGTGAAATCTTGTATTTTATATTATTTTGTATGTATTTATATTGTATATAATGGCTGGAAGTAAAGTTGGTTAAATCATTATACTTTTAAAAAAAATATTATTTAATTATTTTACCAACTAAAAGACAAAGTAATAAGGCCAGTTCACTTTTCGGTAAGTTACTTACCCAGGTAACTTGGGTAAGTTTTTCCTGGGAAATACTTACCTGGGTAATTGCATTTACCCATGTTCTTTTATTTCTCATGTAAATAAGAATATGACCATTTTATCCATAAAGACCCCTTATTAAAAGGGGCATTTTTGTCTCATTCAAGTGTTGACAACTTTCCCCCTAGGTGGGAAAGTTATTTACCCACCTACGAGATGGGTGATACTCAGGAAAATAAACTTTCCCTAGTCCCCACATAAATATGAAAAAAGAACATGGGATTTTTGGTCAGTGGGAACCAAATCCTATTGATCAACATTCCCCCCTCTCAAAATCCGAAAAAAGAACGCCCCCTAAGTGTTTCAATTCAGCAACTCCAGTCGTTATGTAATGGCCCTGCCCTTATCTTAAGGTTATGTTTGATTTCATAGAAAATAAAATAAATAAGAAGTTGAGGAAAAGTTCTTAAGGAAGGGTGCAAAACGTGATTTGATGCATACATGCACTTTATATCACTTTTCCTATCAAAGGATAGGAGTTTGCAAAAACCCTAAAAATGAAGGAAAACATGCAACCTTATCCGTTTGTACCTAAACTTTTAAGGTAGTGTCAAGTTAGTACCCGAACTTTACAACGTATCACTGCAGTACTCAAACATTTTAAGTGTCGAAATTACCCCTTTTAAACCCTTATTGATTTAGACCGAGAACCTCTATTAACAACAAACACCAAAGGTCATATTCAAAGTTGCAACGTTCTTTGCCGATGAGTTCATCTTGGAAATCATTACCGGAGAGAAATTACCCTTTTTAAACCCTTATTGGTTTACCCGTAATGTATTCTCTGTCGGCCAGCGGTCCATTTTATCATAAAAGTACAAAGTCTTGTTACTAGAACGAGGGGGCATAGCTATGGAGCCCCAAACCTAATGACCCAAGAAGGGTTCTTGTCCGCACTCGCCCAGGTCAACGTCCACGAATCCCCTGTTCAGACTTTCACTTCTGAAGACGGTGTGCCTAATGCCAAAGGCAGAGTTATTGGGGGAGCAGTGCCATTAACGTCAGCTTCTACAGCCAAGCAGAGGCATAATGCCCCACCAGAGACATATCGATGTAGAGACACAGCGCCAGTGCAGATACAGCACCCAATCATCGGAACAAAATCGGTGGTTCCACACTTCCACCTTTGACAACTCCGGCCAAAGACATAGCGTCGCGGATTTACTGGACTACGCTATTCCCACTATTTAACTAAAAGCCAAGGTTTAACTCCAAGTATGGTCGTTGTCAATTATTGCCCTGCTCAGTTAGATATAAAATCGACAATGATACAATTGGGTCTTCTATTCATCCTATGTCGAAGCTGGTTATGAGTTGTGATGTTACCTGATGGAGCACGAATTGGATTTTCCCTTCTAGAGGATGACTTGGAGTACAAATTGGATGCTCCCTTCCGCCCTCATCAATTGCCCCCCACTCCCGAGCTAAAAGTAGCTCGGTGAAGGGAGTAGATCGCTCCTTTTGGTCCAGAATGACTGATTCGATAAGCTTGTAGTTGTAAGTATCGATCCAATTTGCTTCTCAGGTCGGAAGAGTCCAAATGTTTGCAGCCTTACGCAGGACATCGCCGTCTTCATTATTAGGGCACGAGAGCAAATTCATCCGCTCGATGAGAGGTGGAGTAGGTACCTCGAGGACATTTACTTTATTAGGGATGGAACCTTCAAAGGGTTCTGCAATCCAATCATTACCTCAAGAGTGAAGTTTATCATGGGTCCGTGTGACTCTTTTATCAGGTTGCTCCACCTAGGTAAACTTCGATGCAACGTCCTTAGAGCTGGTTCTCAAAAGAGTAGCCAATGAGTTTGATGTGGAGTTTGAAACCGAGGTGGAGGTCTACTGTGAAGAGATCGACTAAGTTTGTGTCTGTCATGGTGCTGAAAACGAACTAGTCTTTCTTTTGTTCTCTTTCTCGTGTTGAATGCAAACTGTTTTTTATTTTGCCCATGCAAAAGACGTGACTGGGTCTTATGTGGTGCCGAGGTATTTTATCAGCTCGACACCTTAGCCCTTAGGCTCTGGAGTGACTCGCGGTCCACTCTCCTTATCCTTGATTTTGCCCATGTCGAAGAGGCGACTAGGTCTTAGCACGCCTATGCCGAAGAGGCGACTAGGACTTATCTGCCTATGCCGAAGAGGCAATTGGGACTTAGCACACCTATGCTGAAGAGGTGACTAGGACTTATCTACCCATGCCGAAGAGGCGACTGCGTCTTGTATTGTGCCGAGATCTTTTGTCAGCTCGACACCATAGCCCTTAGGCTCAGGAAGTGACTTATAGACCTCTCTCCTTATCCTTGGTCTTGCCCATGCCGAAGAAGCGACCGAGTCTCATGTGGTGCCGATGTCTTTTATTAGCTCGGCACTTTAGCCCTTAAGTTTTGGGAGCGACTCGCAGTCCACTCTCCTTATCCTTATTTAGCTGACGTGGGGCCTAACCTTTCCGCCAAAGCGGGTGGTCATTTTATAGTAACTTCTCATATGACTGCTTCTACGTCATCCCATGGAATTATATTCCTGGATGAGTGCTTGCAAGACTACGGCGTACATGTTTTGCCCCCCCCCCCCTGTGAGGGCATAATGTTGTTGTCGGTGTGAGTCGGAAGTTCGGGGCCACGACTGTGCTGCATCAGCCTCATAATGACGTCGGTTGTCCACTCCTACGAGAAGCCACAGGGAGCTCGACCTTCGGGGCCAGTTGTACTAACTATAGGTCACCAACTCACTCGGGAGCCTTGAGGGGCTCGACCCGCAAGGGCGTTCGCATAGTTCGTAGGCCACTAACTCCCACAGGAGCTGCGAAGGGTTCAATCTGTAGGGGAGACCTCGCAAAGAGGACTAGTGAGGCTTATCCAGGGTAAAATAAAGTTGGCAGATCCGCTTAGTTTGTTGGCCATCAACTTCTTGTGGGAACCATGACTGGCTCGACCTGGGGGGACAGCCTTACTCCGAGGTGCCTGTCACTAGACTGTTGGTTGTTAAGGTCATTCTACTGTTGCCTATTCTGCATCGACATGAATACGTCGAGCTGCTTCCATGCTCACATCTGGAAATTCATGCTTCATCTCATGGAACTGTCCCGCTTCGATCCCAATGGGAACTGCTGATGGCTCTACCGCGGGGAGAGGGGTGTTCACATGCGGTAGCGGGGTATTTATTTGGGGCAATGGGGATGCTATATTTGGCGTGAACTTGTTTGATTGTTACAGGGGAGTTCTTTAGGTTCATCATAGATGTTTTTGCCCCCCAGTAATCGGTATTCGTTTTGGGTGTTGATGCTACTCAAAAGTTCCTTTGAGTTCATAGAAATGGAAATTAGAAAGTGAGATCTTTAATTTCTAAAAGGTGAGATCTTTAGTTTTATGGAAGATGAGGACTTAACCTTTTAGAAGGTGAGAACTTAGCTTCTTGTAGCATTTACCACAGACGACGCCAATTGATGGAGCACGAATTGGATGCTCCCTTCTAGAGGATGACTTGGAGCTTTGCAGTGTGACGAGCTGGTTGTTTTGCAAAAGAGTGAGCTTAGAGAACCTGGGGTAGTTAACCCGATGAGGTCTTTCCAATGCTTAAGTTAGTATTCTTGCGGTAGATTGCAAGCTGAAAATGAGCTAGAGTGCTAGTGTGCAGATGATATTATGCGTACCTTTTTTGTGTCATTTGGGTTGGTGCCTTTATATAGGCTTTGTTTGGCATGGGCTTCACGCACCACATCCGAGATTTCGGGAGGTTGCCTAACCGGTCTGAGATCCCCGGAGGTAACTGCCACGCACATTGACCATCCTACGGAACACTCGGTACATGGGCCAACTTTCGAGAAACTTGGGAGTGTCGGGATATGCATACCAAATTTGTCGGCGAGCACAACTTGCAAGTCGCCTTCTGGACCTCAGTCAGGTCGGCAAGCCCTCGAGGGAGGTCGCTCTTCGTGTCAAGGTCACATCGGCCAGTGACGAGGTGCTACAGGTTGGCCCTAGACGAGGTGCTCCTAACCGACCTAAGTTGTGGTTGAAGTCACTAAGTCGGAGTGAAGACGAACCACGATCTGGGACTCCAAATCATCGCTTAAGTGGTGTCCATGTATCATCCAACTATTCCAAGATGCCATGTGTCACGATGTGACTGGAGGGTCAAATCCGCCCTCATCATTACCTATCAAGAATGGTGGATGATGATGAAAAGCTAGAGGGAAGGAAAGAAGACGAAGTGAGAGGAAATAGGGGTTTGTATTAAATGCTGGATAGAAGTTTTGTCTGAGGCCAAGAAGAATGCAGCCTCAACCAATGGCTATTGTTGTGATTTTTGTTCAACCGATGCATAAGACTGAGAACAGGGGGGTTGGTGTGTGGTGATGGAGGATGGAATGATCTTAGAAAATGGCGAGAAATAGCCAAAAAGAAGAAGATGGTAGACAATCGACCAAATACCACTACCGCGTGGGAAAAACAAAGGTGAGATTCTCTCTCTGGTTTTCCCGCAGGCGCACTCTATCTAATTTTTTTGAGGCTCAGTTTTGATGAAGTACAAATACAAATATGTACAATGCAAATACATACAAAATAATACAAAATAAAAGGTTTCACACTCTACAAATTTGCATTTGTACTCCTTCCAAATTGAGTGGTAGGTACACCAGGGTCTAAACAAGGTGGCAATTGGCGTCATTTATCGGGTTCCCACAGGCCACAAGTGCATCAACGGCGATTGGTGTCATTTATTGGCATAAAATTTGGCAGCACCACCATGCCATGATTTGTAGTGGAGGGGAGGTGATACTCTCTACTGGGCCATTGAAAGTCCACAACTTCTATTATGGTGATGGCGGCGGGGCAACCGTATATTTTGGGGAAATATTAAACTGATTTCAAAAGGGTAAAATGGTCCTCAATTATGCTTAAAGAGTATTTCAGACATATTAAAAATTTTAAGTCGATCACATGTCACCACATGACCGACAACCCAACGGAATACTAATGGTAGGGACCGAATTGATAGTTTCCGAAAGTTTAAATATTGCAGTGACATATTTTAAAGTTTGGGCACTAACTTGACACTATCCTCAAAGTTCAAGGGTATTATTAAAGTGAAATTTTCCCTTTTTTAAGGTAACCAATGGAAATAGAAAGCTGCTTTGTGCTCTTCCTCCTATATTTCTTCTCCACAGAGCTCCACCATTGAGTGGTATCAACAACTACTTTTGCCCTGTTAGCTCTACCTCTTGCAGCATCTAAAATCGATATGAACAACATCAACATATGCTTCAAAACATCTAGTCTATTATCTTTCTTTTTTGTGGAACTACACCATTGGGTTAAGTGCCAGCAAGGCAACAAGCAATGATTTTAGGCTCAGATTGAACATAAAACTACAAAGCTGACCCCATCTCTAGAGATGGCAATTTAATCTGTCCCCATGGGGCCTTGCCCCGATTCGGGTAAGTTTTTTGACCATTGATCGGGGTTCAACGAAACCCAAAACTTTAGGGATTGGGGATGGAGCAGGGATGGTATTTGTCCACCCCGCCCCAACTAGGGCAGGGAATTTGAGTTTGGGGTCGGGGATAAGGTAGGCAAAACCCGACCCCACCCCGCCTCATTACCATTCATACTCTTCTCACCGATTAACTGTTTATTTCATAGATTGTTCAACAAATAAAAACTAAAAATGTTTAGATGACCAGGGTGGACCAAGGAATCTTATCCAACACTGGTTCAACCATTTTGGTCCAGTTTGAATTCGATAGAATTGCCTACAAGCCATGAATGATTAAATAAAAAAGGGAAAATTGCTGAAATCTCCTCTTAAGTTTTTGGTTGTTGCTCAAAACCTCCCCAAAAGTATGGTAATTGAAATCATCTCCCCTAAACTTCCTGACATAGTTGCAAGTAGATCCCCATGGTTAGAATTATCTAAAAAGTGGCATGAAACGTCCAAAATACCTATCAAGTTACTTTTGATCAAAATGTTTATTTTCCAAATTTTCTCTTCATATGAATTGCTAGTCCAAACCCTTCCAACCTCTTTTATGAAATTGATTTTTTTTTCAAATTTGCTTTTCATATCTTGCTCAAAGATAAAGTTTCAATTTAAATTCTCTATTTTTTTTGTTATTTATAAATTTGTATTTTTTTTTAGAAACTTACCTCAATGGTAATTGCATGGGTACTTTGGATATTTTCATGCCTCTTCTTAGGGGATTCTAATAGAAGGGTCTACTTGCAACTATATAAAGTCCAGGGAAGGTGGTTGCAATTGCCAAACTTTAAGAAAAGTTTCAACCACGGCAAAAAACTTAGCAATTTACTCATAATAAAAAAGAGCCATTAACTAAAACATCCCTATAATTTCATGAATTTACTAAAACATACCCTATAGTTTATGTTTTACTAAAACATCCCCAATTTACAATCAATTTACTTAGGGGATGTTCTGTAGTGTGGATGAGAAATTGGTGGGTGTGGACTGGTTCATACCACACCTTGTGGTAGGGACCAATTCACACCACACCATAGTCCATAGTTGTTCTGAACTGTGGACAAACTGTATAGACTGAACTAGTCCACACCCACAGTGGCGTTTTGTAGGTGTGGTGGTCCACACCACACTTTTTGATTCCATGTATCTCATATACATCATGAATGATCTACACAGTTAATCATAAATATCTAATTTTTGCATTTTATATGATAAATATTAAAAAAGACATCAATGAATTAATATTAACCAATAAATATTAATTTTTATAAAAACAATAGTAAATTAATTTAAAAATTAAAAATATATTTTAAATATTTAAAAATATTATTTTATTGATGAAAACATTAAAAACTAAGTGAAATAATTAATATTTTATTGACAAAAATATTTAAAATTAATATTTTATTAAAAATAAAAAAATTTAAAAAATAAGTAAAATAATTACAAACCGGATGAATGCATCAAGAACACAAAAACAAACGATCGGCTATTTAGGATTTAGCATCATTCAACAGCTAAGAGGGAAACGCAATACTATTTGCACAATAAAGAAGGATTGCATCAAGAGAAAAACATAGTACATAGGATTTTCGGATCATAACTAACATTTGTCAAGAACAACACTTGAAACAAAACTGAACAGAGAGAGAGAGAGAGAGAGAGAGAAACTAACATCGTGAGTTTCTTCAAGATGGAACCTTGGAAGCTGGACTGGTGGAGGAGAGTTGCAGTGGTGGAGAGCTTCAGCGGGTGGTGGAGACCTCCAATGGTAAAATGTGAAGTAGAATAGGGTTTCAGGGAGAGTGTGAAAGCAAGGGATCAAAGAAATACCTGTGGATGAGCCCTAACCACGATATTTTGTCGTTGTTGTTAAATTGGGTTGTGAGCCAGCCGAACAGGTGTTCATGCCGTGGACCAAACCAGAATGGTCCCATCCACGACATGAACACCAAACCGAACACTGCCTTAATCAACCTTCCATTAGTTGAAAGTGGAAAATGGCAGTTTTAACCCTAACATCCATTCTAATAAATTTAGAGGGTGTTTGGAATCGTGGGCGTTTATTAAATAAATGCTACCACATAGGTGCCACTTCAACATTTCCCCCATTATGTGAATCTGTTTGCATAGGGACTTGCAAAAGTAGGCTTTGGTTATATGCAAGCCTACCATTGGGGGAAGCTTCATTTTAGCGCTTCTCCCAATAGGTAGGCGTTTATTCACTATTTTGCTGATGTGGTGCCTAAGTGTCAATAAACGAGTTCATTCTTACTTTTCTCGGTTTTCCAAACAAATCAAGTATAAAACATTTAGTAAATAAGTTCATAGTTCAAAACACATACTTAATCAAAAGAAACTGAAAACAAAAATATCATTTTTACTCCTATTAAAACACGTACAACCACTATTTTTCTATATACAACCATGGGTTCATGCCCTTGAACATTTTCCACTTAGTTTAGGTGATCATGTTACTATTTTTAGATGGAAATCAAATAGTTCTTGATGAAAGGTTGATTAAGTAAGGGCCCATTTGACGTGTCTTTTTGAGAAGATCTTCTTGTAGCTCTAACAGTCAAAAGATGCATTGAACTTTTGAGAAGACAGTTTGACATATGCACATCTTTCCATGTGTTTGCCCGCATCTTTTCGAGCGAGATTAAAACGTGAAAAACATGGGAAGCTTCATTTGAAGCTTTCCGAAATCAACCCAAAATGGGCTTCTTGCGTCTTCTCGACGCACCGTCTTTTGGTGGCTAAATCTTTCACGAACCAAACAGGAATAGACCAAAAATCGATCTTCCCACCTTGTAAACTGTCAATAGACTGCACGGAAAGACACGCCAAATGGACCTAAAAAAGGGTGTTTTAATAAAGTGCAAACCATAAGGTAGGTTTTACCGTTTTTATAGGGGGTGTATAAATGACCCCAAAAAAAGAAAAAACAGAACAAACTTTTTGACCGCTGATGGGTTGAGTAAAAAATTAGCCCATTCAGCTACGACGAATCTGACTCTGACCAAGTCTGCCTTAGTCGAAAAAAAAAGGCAAAACCACAATATAATCATAGAAAAGTAGCTGGTATTTATTAAAAAATAATAAAAAAGAAAAATATGGTACTAGGTCACATTTGCAAGTTAGCAGGTGGAATCAATTGTAATCACGCGTGGGCGTGGTGGACCGTGGACCCTCACAATGCAAAATGGATTTCCACTTAATCCGTTAAGCTTTTGAAAAGTCCACTTGTACTGCTGCTGCGTACCCCAAATTTGACATCAGATAGAAGATTTGCTTTTCTTCGTTAACATTTGATGGAGCAAAATTTTGCTACGGCACCCTGTTTTCCTAGGTCTTCAGGGGAGCAATTTTGTATTGTGGTTGGGTAGCGTGGCAAAAGCTTTGTTACAATAACCCAAAGAGCCCCTTGTTCCTCTTCTTCCAACTTCTGCCATACCATGTTAATGTTAAATAAAAACTTTAAATAAAACGTAGAATAACAGAGAAAAGTCAAATCTGCATCAACCGTTATGAAGCTCAAGCTGTGGTTCAATAAGAAGAAATACAAGCGTGATCAAATGGAGAATCATACATGAAGCTGTAATGTACAAGGAGTTGTATCTCACACATGCACACCTCCAGTTATGTCTATAAATGAAGCAAGCAACCCAACCTACACTTTATCCATGCTCTACTGATCAACCCCACAACATATTCGCCAAACCTATAAAGCAGGAATCAAGAACATTGCACATCTAATCAAATTTTCAAATCTGGAGTCGATCAGAATCCAGATGAGAAAGCAATTTCTTAAGTGTACTATTGTAATTGTTGCCCATTTGTGTTGCATAGATGAGCATGGGTCTTGTAGATTTGCCTGGAGATGTAGGCAGTTCAGAGCCCTGTTCACATTGGTGCCCTTGAAAGACATCTAAACTGCTTCATGCGAGGTCCCTTTTCTAGAAGCATCAGCAAGCCCGCTTTGTTCTCTGGCAACCCAAACGTATACCTATTTGCAAAAGTTGAAAGAAACAATTTAGTTTAGCCCCATGCATGCAATGGAACCACCTCTACATTGACCCAGACTTGACCATCAATTGGTATTCCACTTTAAAAGCTTAGTCATGTCCTATGTAACAAGGGCACAAATTTTTCTGAAACTCGGCCCTGCCAGACTGCCTTGTTTACATATCTGACACATACTGACAGAAAAACTGATCTATTTCAGTTCACCAAGTTGCCATGTCAAGCAAATCGCACCAGTTTTGGACACCAAGATATGTCATTTACCTTGTTACTTGGATCAGAACTCAGAAACTAAGCCAAATGGATGATTCTTACCCATCCTAGAATGTGTGTTTTAATGACATAATCATAACATTTCATTGCTGTTCAAGTTTTGGTTCTTGAACAGATGGTTATTGTTATTGGCCTTGTAAAACTTTTGGCTTATGGCTTTCCATGGAATGCCGAAAAACATGCTGCCTGGATTCATGTTTGTCTAGAAGCATGATTTCAAGAAGACAAAACACAAGTCTAACAAAATAATATTCTGCTTACTTGCTTTTACGTGCTTTCCTTCTCCAGAAAACAACGGAGACAACCCACTGAAACCAAAGTTTGAAAAGATAAGAAAATATCCAACATGATGGGAATAACAACAACAACAACAAAAAGAAACGTGAATATGAAATTGAAACATGGGGTTCTTAGTAAGTATAAAATATCAAAAAAAAAAAAAAAAGATTTCACTTATGCAGCAAACATCATGGAAAATAAGGGTACAGACAGGTGATAAGATATCACCCCCAAAGTAACCAACCCGTCATATGGTAAGAAGCTGTTTTGTTCTTTTGGAGTCTATCAAGGTTCAATTAAATGAATTCCTGGATAACTGTGGGGTATAAGTTGCATTTCAACCCCCAATTCTTTCTTCCCTGATGAGAAAACAACCATAGAAACTATATCTGCTTAGTAGGACTATCAATGGAGAAAATCACGGCCTGATTGGACATCTGATCCAATTATCTCGACTCGGATAGTCTAGACATATGGCTGAATTAGACTTGGATGCAGTGAATAGGATCCATTTAATTATTGGATCGAATTTGGATGTAAACCAATATGATCCGATTAAAGTATGAGTCCAATAAAATATAATGTTATAAATGTGTAATATAATGGTCTTATAAGTTTACAGAAACACCACTACAATGCATTTAATACTCATTCAGATTTTTTTTTTTTATCAATAACATCAATTTCATTAAATTAAGAGAATAGAGGGAAAAGAATACAAAGGGAGATAAAATAACTTAGCTCCCCAAAAAAAAACAGAAAGCACAGGGAAAGCAAAGAAAATTAAAAACTAGCCCAAAAAACAGCCTCCCTATTCACTCCTTGCTTGGCCAACCCATNACTAGCCCAAAAAACAGCCTCCCTATTCACTCCTTGCTTGGCCAACCCATCCGCAAATGAGTTGGCACTCCTCTTCACCCAGCTGTACTGAATCTCTATGTCCCTWCCCARCCATAAGAAMTGTTTTTTCTCATTGTTAAAGTTCCACAAACCACTGTCCTAATAATACTCATTCAGATTATTAGGGGTAAACAACCATTTGCTATTACCTTTACAACCCAATCAATTGAAAGTTCAAACCCTAACCTCTTACGAATTACAAACCCTAGAAGGAACAGTTGATTCTTTATGACTGCACAAGTAACACTGAAGAGTTGAGGATTGAAGAAGGTTGTTGAAAGTTCAAATGCTAACCTCTTATGATTTATGAGCCAGAGAAGGTACCATTGATTCTCTGTTACTACTGCAAGGCATGAACAAGTCTGAATACCCTATGCTTGAGAGTTGAGGATAGAAGATTGTTGCTGAGAGAAGACATTAGATATCCGCAATCAAAGGTAAGCCTGGATGATCACATTTTTCTGTCTTTTAAATTTCCATTGGTGTCTTTTTATGTGTAGAGCTGTTTTTTTTCCCAATCTGAAAATAGGGTTTTGGTTCAATTTTTTTGCCTTCAATCTGAAACTAGGGACTGCTTGATGTGCAATGACTTTGGTTCTCTCCTTTGTAAATGTATTAAGCTCCTATCTAATCAAATCCTTAAACACCGTGTTTCTCTCCATCTTTGTCTCCCCTTAAACATTCCATTACGGCATTATTGCATCTTCAATCTCTGCTGCACCCTCCCTTCTCTCCTCAATGCCAACAGCAATGAATTCAGTAACTTCCTCTACCCTTGAATCCACCTCTATTCTACCTTCTAAATAACAGGAATCACCACCTCTATCAAAGTCCTTCATGGTTTGTTGTTATTCCTCTAGTTTTCTTTATCTATCTCCCTTGGTTTCATTCAATGAAAGTAGTTATCTTTCCCTTGCTTTCTTTTTCCTTTGTGTTTTTTTTTTTATTCAGTTTATTTCATGTTCTTACTCAACATTCTCAAGTTGCTGATCTATTTAAGTTTCGTTTATTGAATTTGGATGGAACCCAATAATCTGGCATATCTGACGGATTCAGATTCAATTTGAGAATGCATAGATCCAATCAGATTTCAGATCAAAGTTGGATGTTACATTTCTTTAATTGGATTGAACTCAGAGGAGGTACATGTGATCTGTTTACAGCCACACTGCTGAGAGAGATTTATAAGTCTTGTTGAGGGAAAATATATGATCGAGTTTCTCTGTGCTCTCTGTCTCTTTAGGTTTCCGTTAATCAATTTAAAATGCAACAAGAATTCCTTTCCAATTAACCCCCCAAAAAGACCAAACAGATACACAGAAATATTGACATTAAAATACATCTGGATGATCGCAGTGGGGACTTGGGATTGATCACACCTCCACCCAGGGTTGGAGGTATGTCAAAGGGTTTGGGGGAGGGGGGCTGTCCCCCCTTTGTGCCCCCTTTTTTTCCCCCCCCCCCCCCCCAAAAAAAAAAAAAAAGAATTGTGGTTTTAAAGAAAAGTATCAAAATAGACAGCTTTATGTTCTTCATCTACCATTTTGGACACACACAACATAGTTATTAGCCTTAAATATAATCATCTAAATATGAAATCTTTACTAGGCAAGCAATAACATATGAACTCATGAAAGTGTAACAAATAATGATGAAACCTAGTACCAAAAAAATGGGGATTTCTTAGATATTGGCTTCTTAGAAGAATAAAAGTTACATGCTAGATAAAGAAACAAATTCAATAAAGATAAAAGAATCCATTTCTGAGATATGAAATAAACATGAAATAATATTTGTAGCATGCAAAAGTAGAACCAATTATTGGCAAGGACACCCAAAATTACCTTCAGTACCGACATGAAGGAAAAGCTACTAATGATAGATGGCTTCTTCACAGGTACAACTGCCCTTCTTTCTGATGTCATTTCTTTACAGAAACGTTCAGCAATTTCCCTGATTAATATCATCTGTGCTTTATCGTACATTCCGTGCTTTGACATTTCCCTCTCTGCTTCCCTTTCTGCTTCAAGTGCTTGAACCCGCATGTAGAGATTCTTAAGGTTTGAATCCCCTACATCAGCCCAATATGATGATTCCCTCGGAGTGGTAATGTAATCTTCAGAGATCCCAATGGCAACTTTGGGCTCTGGACCACTATTGTAAGACACTCCATGATGAATAGAATCAATGGTATATATTCTGTCACTCATGTCATCTCCAAGGTCTGATGCATTATCAACCTTTCTCATATTAGAGGAGTCATCTGTATGTAAACAATGCTTCTCACCATACTGTGGAATTTCTGTAGCACCATCCGGTCCTGTTTCCTTTACCAAACCAAAGAATGAATTTGAGCTCTCCACAGACAATCTCCCAGCATGTCTTGGCCGTCTGGGAGATTGACCCACCACTACCTTTTCGAGAATGTTCCTTGTGCCAGAAAATTCCCCATTAATATGACTGCAACTAGGATTTCTTTCCAACTGAGAGATTCTGTACTCCAAATTCTGCAATTCCCGAGCACGGGGGGTTTCATGAATAGAACAAGGGGTTTCACGAAAAGCACGAGGGGTTTCACCAAAAGCATATTTGTCAAGATCTGCTACATCATTTTCATGATCATGATGGCTATGCATCTCATTCAGATTGCATTTCAGAGGAGGGTAGTTACATGGGGGAAATTCAAACTGAGTTTCAGGATTCTCAACCATGCTGTTAGTATGAATACATCCATCATTCCCGCCCTCTACCTCAGCCTCAGTAAGCCCATAACTCAACATCCTGTGTTTGTATGCCTGGACTTCACATGTTAGAGATTGGATGACCTGTTCTCTCTTATACAACAAGTCTTCCAATGCAAGAAGTTCTTGTTGATCATGAGCCATTTTCTCCTCTGCAAATCGTTTGAACTGTCGGGCTTCCATCTGGATCTCAGCCTTTTCCCTTTGCAACCTCAATATCATCGACATGGCCTCATTTGCGGCCGAAGCAGATGCATTTCTCTCTTCTTCCAGCTCAGTGTACAGTTCCTGTATTGTCTGTTGCTGGCTGCTGAGGGCCTCTCGTAGGGCAATGCATTCATTTTCAACTTCAACTCGAGCAACAGATAAGTAGTCCGTTGGAACATTTCGACTACTGGCTTCAAATTCTTCAAACTTCCTTTTCACCGAGCGGTGCCAGGTGCTGCTGATCAATGTGCAACTACAGCCACAGTTACAGCATTTAAGAAAATCTGTAGAATGTGGCAGGACTTCGGTATCCATAAACATTCAAGCATCCAACTGAAAACAACCCAATCCAATCACCAACAGCTCACCTAACAAAGTAACCCAGAAAAAAATAAGACCTTCTCCGGAAACTCAATTTGGATCCCTCCTTAACAGTAACAGAATCTTTTAATGTATTCCCTTCCTCCAACCCAACAAGAAGCTCTCCGCTCAGAAGGAAAATGAAACCCTACCTATCAAGAAAAATTCAAAGCAATAAAACAGTCAACCTATCTATCATTCTCTCCATTATTTTCTCCTCCCCTCTCCCTCCCACCCTTCTTCTGGTCCAATGATTACCTGAAACAGAAACAATGACGAACCCCCGAAGCATTGCGCCATTATCACCAGAGGACAGAAATATCTACCACAAAAAAAAAACAGAGAAATCACATAATTAACTTACCTTGGAAGAACCAAAAGAATCCAAAACCAAAGGATGTGGAATAGAAACTCGGATTGCAGATGATTTCGTATATTTCGGATTTGCAGACCTTCAAACGATCAGACCTCAACGATCCCTCGCTCCTTTCTTGATTGAAACCGCGGAGGGAAATCGCAGGAATGGCGTTTGAGGAGGGTGGGAGAGAGCAAAAAAAAAATGGAGGGTAGAGGAAGGGACCGAATGAAATTTTGAAACCCTAGATTTGTTTGTTTTTGTTTGTTTTTTCTTCCAGAAGAGAGAGAAAGAAGAGCTGGTGTTCGGTTCGGCCCCCGAAAATGTTCTAAATTGGTAGAAACAGAAAGAGAAGGGCTCGGATTTGTTCTGTCTTTTGACTGGTTCGAGTTTGTCGGACTCGGACGCGATATTAACTAAGTTTTATTTCTCTTTCCCCCCTCTTAATAATCAAAATATTTATTATTATTATTATTATTATTATTATTTAAATTTAACCTAAAAGCTTCTTACCTGGCAACGCTTAATTTAACCCTCCCAGGTAATCTTGCCAGGTCATTAAAAATATTTTTCTTAGCAGGGCAACAAAATTTGCTTTTGAAATTTCTAAAATTTACTAGAAAACCATTTTAGATTGTTTTTGATGAAAAAATTATGAAAACAAATTGAATCAAGCTTCGAATTGACGATTGAGCCCAATATATAAGCTCAATTGTTAATTAAGCTGAGATCAATTAACATGAAATTTGGCTCATGAAGCTGCAAGTTTATCTAAGTTTATATATAATATTTATATATATATATATATGTATATATATATATGATAAGAAAATATTTATATGATAATATCAATTAACTTGTCTTTATAAGTTTTTAGTCTTTACTTTTATTTTAATAATAACTTTTTTTTAGATTTTCAAAATTTAGGACAAATTATTGATTTCTCATTTCTTAAATTTATCACTATTTATAACATTGATAGGTGAGAGACTGGGAAATTTAACACAATTCAAGACTAAGTGAGATTTTGTAAAACAAAATAAAAAATAAAAGATTTTGAAATAAGATAAATTACAAGTTTTATATGTAATTATTTTGTCAAAAAGGCAATTTTATAGTTTAAAAGTAACTCGGTTTATATGGGGCGAAGAATCCAAGAGTTGCACAAATGCAATTGTAGTTATCACTCACGTAAATCAGGGGTATTTGTTTATCACTTTATTGACAATTAAAGCTGAAAAGATGACGTGGTGGGTTGGTTATTTGTCGTAGTAACCGAACCGCACCAGAAGTCCGAGTTTTGTCCTTGTTCGGTTTCTTAAAAGTTAAAAAAGACATAATTATAGCTGCCTCAGCTGTAAGGCCCGTAACTAGTGGGGTCAACGGATCGGGTTCGAGTCCAACTATAACCCATATATGTCAGATCCGATATAACAAAAACTTTGAGTCAACCATCTTTTTTTTTTTGCGTGGTGAATATATGAATACGGATACCCGTACCCGACTCGTAAGGTCAAAACTCAAAAGTCATTGTAGAGAAAAACCAGCAACTCGGGATCAATCAGGTTCCGAAAATCTTTGAATAATCAATGGAGTCATGATCATGATAACGGCTGCGATCCTTCCAAGGCGTGAACCGCGGGATCTAACGGCTTGGGGACACGTGAGTAACCTTTACAATTTAGATCAAGGAGGCGCATAATTATTGCACGTGGCTTCTACCCATACGTGTTCGGTACTGTTGATCTGGGATATTCTGAGAGTCACGTAGGACCCACATACAACGCATCGTTTACACTTTACACCACGTAACAATGGGAAATAAATGTGTGGAGGCCATGTGTATGGATAACTAAATGACACGTCATCGTAATAATGATTTTTTTCCTTTACCAGAGAAAATGATTTTTAGTATAACTTTTTTTTTTTTAATTTTGAGTTATCAAAAACTAATAATTTACTAAAAAATTAGAATTAAGCCCACCGAAGATGAAATCTAGTATTTGATAACTCAAAAGAAGAAAAAAAATCTAATTAGGTAAATTAATAAATATTTAGAATCTACATAAAAAATTAGTAAAAAAAATCCTAATTGGGTGAGATAGAAGATTTTGGATCTCCTAAGATGAGTAATAGGGGCTCCAAAATCCAATCAGAAGTGTACACGTCAGCCCTATAATATGCCACCAATTTCTACCGATTAGAAGAACCGTATAGGCTATAGTCATTCCAAACCGCTCATTAGGTTGAGATTAGACCCATGCTCCCTTTGGCAATACACGTCAACCCTATAATATGCCACCTTTGGCCACGTGGCTGTGGCACTAACCTAGATGCCGGAGATGCTGAGCTCAACTCAAGACGAGAATGACTTCAATTGCCAAGTAAGCTAAATACTGGGTAAGACAGCAATACCGGTTTTTGCCACGTGGAAAAATTTATTGCCAATCCGAACCGCCCATCAACTAGGAGACAATTTGAGAATAGCCTTGTGTTCACTATAATTGTACATGTCAACCCTATAAAATGCCACCTTGTATTTGAGGTTTGTCCAAGTGACATTGATTCACTTCTATTGTGTGCTCGCCACATTTGTTCCAATGCTGCAGGTGTCAAGTTCAGCTCATGACAAACAGATGATTTCAATGCTGTACACACCATCTGCTAGTAACAAACAATGCTAGGGATATAATAGATTTGTGCCATTTGTCTTAATTTTGAGAACAAATGGCACAAACCTAATGCTACAGGTGATGCTAATCCATTTCTAGCTGCGACGACCGTCACACTTATTCCAATGTTGCAAGTGTCAAGTTCAACTCATGACAAGTAAATGGTTTCAATGGTGTGTATACTGATCCGCAACCGAATCATTTTGGCCATCGATTTATAGGTCAGTGGTTTAATTGTCTGGTCCGAATCGACAATCCGTCACAATTTAAAAAAAATATAAAAAATAATTGAAACAGAAAATGGACCGCTCATCAGGTTGAACGGTGGATGATTTGACAATCGAGTTTGGGGTGAATTAGAATTGATTGCTGAATGGTTTCCGGGCTGAATGATCTAACCGTTTATATCAACGATAATTCAAAAACCACGTATGCACAATATACTAGTAACAAACAATGCTAAGCATATAATAGATTTGTGCCTTGTCCTCAAGATTTAAGTCATGGTTTTCAAAATCAGATCGGACCGAATCGGATCGGAAAAACTGGGAAATGGTCAGATAATTGATTCCGTTTTTTTTTTAAATCGAATTTTCTTAAAAAATCATTGATTTTAGTCAATAAATTGTTGAACCGGACAACTAACCATTCGAATGATTTTGAATGTTTTATTTTTTTAATTTTTATCAAAACAAATTCAGTTTAAACGATTGGACTGTCCGACCTGATAACTGGACCCCTAATCAAGGTCTTCAGATCGGTTTTAAAAACCATGATTTAAGTGTTGAGAACAAGTGTGCTTAGTGTTGTTTGTTACTAGATATATAGAGTGATCCATTTCTACCATGTGGAAGAAACCTATGACCGATCCAAACTGTACACATGGGGAACTTTTGAGAATGGAGAATGGACACTCCGATAATACATGCCAACCCTATAGTAAGCCACCTTGTATTTGTATTTATGATTTGTCCAAGTGATGCTAATCGACTTCTAATCATGTGGTCATCACACTTATTCCAATGCCAAGTTCAACTAATGACAAACAAATGACATCAACAGTGTGTACACCATCTGCTACGAACAAGCAACGCTAGGCATGTCATAGATTTGTGCCACCAAATGTTGAGGACAAGAGGCATAAGATTTAAATTATAATGTGCCTAGCATTGTTTGTTATTTAGAAACAGATATGAATTGATCTGTTTCTACATATTGAAGAACTCTGGCCAATCCAAACTGTTCATTAAGTTGGAAACTTGATATTGAACACTCTGTGAATACATGCCAACCCTATATAATAAGTGACCTTGTATTTGATGTTTAGTTGTTTGCCACGTTGTGTAATGGGTTATGTAATCAATCATAAGTGAACATGTTTAGACGTGATGCTGCACAAATTCACCAAATGCCTTGTTGGAGGACAGCTCCAACGAACGGGCTGATGAGGTCGGTCCATTGAGCTGTAAGAGGGCTAAAAGATCAGAGTATTTGAGGTGATTAATTCGGACTGGACATTCCGATGTTTAAGTTATCGATGAGAGTATTAATAGCAGAGAGCTTGAGAGGACAAGAGAGTTAATTGTACTAATCATACATACATTGTGAAGGAATGGTGAGATCTTTTTATAGGTGTTGGGGTTCGTGTTTCGTGTCTGAGATATCCGGGAGCGGTGGGTCTTATCAGTCCATTATCTTCGAGGTGCATTCATCCCACGTTGGCGGTGAGTCTGGACTCCTTGAATCGTGTAGGAACCAGGGTCATCTGTGCCAGGTAGGTGACATTCTATCGCTTAACTCGGAACCGATAAACGTGCCACTCCGGATAAGGACAACCCGCCACGTAGGTTGGTGGGTCGGTACCTTGAAAGTCTACTAGCTACTCAAGTCCTTGTCTACCCAAGTTGGGGAGGTTGTGTCGGCCTCCGAGGTGATATATGCCACTCTATCGTGGAACTAGTTGCTAGTCTCTCTCAAGTTGGGATGTAAGCCAGGTGGTCAGTCTAGGCCGTCCCGGCTTCACCCAACTTACTCCACATGGCACCAAAGTGTCATCAAACAATCCGAACTTGCCATGTGGTGTTTCATGATTGGTGGGCCAAATCATCCCTTATCAACATGTGTATGGAATAATGACATATTTGTTGCTCGTGAACATTGGTTATGTATAGCCTGTTTCACACAGTGTGGTGAACAATAGATCAGGGCTTTTGCATAGATCATTTGGTCTGATCTAATTTTTGCCTAAAAAGAAGACATGCATGGCGCTATGTGATACATTGAACTCGGATTTCCTATAACTTTCTCTACCCACAGTACACTGCAGCCACACATATTACAATACAAGGTGAGGATGTACGGCTGCAATTCAAGGCGGATAGAGAATAGTGAACAGGAAATCCGATGATTGATACAATAGTCCATATGAGCTCCATGCAACAGTAAATATCACCTATGGAGAGCCTATACACAGCACAGGCTATCAAACATGGACAGCCAAGGTTTTCACAGATTTAATGACTAGTATCATACCCATCCAATCTCACATTTGAGAGTCTGACCAATCAAACCCCCTGTTTGTGGTTGAATTTTGATGAATTCTCATTGGTTCGTGTACAATTTAACCCAAATCCTAAATTGTGTAGGAGATCAGAAGTATAAAAATTTATGGGAG